AACAATGGCATAAAGATAAAAGTATAATTTATGAGAATGGAATATTTAGCAATTGGTTCAGCATGAATCAAGAGGAAAACAAAGGCTGTGGTGTCTCCTTGGTTGTTTAATGTATTTATAAATATGTAAGAAATAATTTTGTGCTGGTACTAAAACTGTGCTGTTTGGGGATATAAATGTATGTGTACTTTTGTATGCAGCTTGTGCTAGATTGTTAGCTGAAAAGCTGAACAATTTTCAAGAGATGTTAGATTGTAGGATGCAATGAAAGGCTAAGTGAATATTTGCAAATTATACACAAATGGCAAAAAATAAATAAAAAATACAACTCAACCCTTAAATGACTTTGTGTACCTTGAAAGAATGTTTAGAGAATGCCAGTGAACATTACAAGGGTAATAAGTAATATGTGGTCTGTTGCAAGTAATGAATGCTTGCTGAAAGAAGCAAAGATGCGCATGTACTAAACATGCTTCTGCCCACTTTGTTATTTGGAAATCAGAATTAGGTTTATTAAGAAAAAACATAAACTGAAGATTGGGATTGGGGTATGTATGTGATAATACAAGAATAAATGAACGCATTGCTTTCAATATGCACAGAATGTATAAGTGAGTAACCAGGAGGAAATAAGTATATTGAACTGGTTGGGTCATAGAGACAGAACAAATAACAATTGAATCATGAAATAAATTTATATAAAAAAGCTGTAGCTGGATAGAATTAAAGAAAACTATAATAATAATAATAATAATAATAATAATAATAATAATAATAATAATAATAATAGTCAATTGCAAAAGGCGGCCTTACTAGGAACTGCTTCCATCCTGCGACGATATCTGTAATACCATCAAACATCCACATCTACCTATCCCAAATCCTGGACAAGGACTCAATAGGTAGACAAAATGCCAAATCCAGTCTGAACATCTGGCTGACTGTGCAATGATCAGTAATAATAATAATAATAATAATAATAATAATAATAATAATAATAATAATAATAATAATAGAAAGACTGTGGCAAAAGCAAGCAAGGGTAGTACCAATAGTCATAGGCTCCTTGGGTGCAATCCCAAAACAACTGGAGCACCACTTGAACACCATTGGCATTGACAAATTCGCTATTAGTCAATTGCAAAAGGCAGCCTTATTAGGAACTGCTTCCATCCTGCGACGATATCTGTAATACCATCAAACATCCACATCTGCCTATCCCAGGTCCTGGGTAAGGACTCGATAGGTAGACAAAATGCCAAATCCAGTCTGAACATCTGGCTGACTGTGCGATGATCAATAATAATAATAATGATGAATGATGATGATGATGATGATGATGATGATGATGATGATGATGATATTGGAAGGGACCTTGGAGGCACAGTCAGGAAACCCTATACCATTTCAGACGAATGGCTGTCTAGTCTCTTCTTAAAAACTTCCAGTGTTGGAGCATTCACCGCTACTGGAGGCAACTTGTTCCACTGGTTAATTGTTCTGTCAAGAAATTTCTCCTTAGTTCTAGGTTGCTTCTCTCCTTGATTAGTTTCCATCCGTTGCTTCTTGTCCTGCCTTCAGGTGCTTTAAAAACAGAAAGATGAACACTTTAAAGAATAAGGGACAGTACATGAAGCTATGTATAGACACCATGAAAGCCACAATGATCTGCAAGTTTAGAAAGATTTGGAGATGTAGACATAGTACATGGTGTTGATATAAGCTAAATTTAGCTATTTTTTTGTTTCTCCTTAAAACCATGTCACCAATGGTTTTAGCTATATATTCTTTTCTTTTTCTTACATTTTTTTATTTATTGGGTATGCTATTTCTTGCTCCATTGCTTATCCAAAATAGAATATCATTATGCCATTGATAGGTATGTGTCTATTGTACATATGAGTTTTAGTCAGAACAACCAATATCAAGGAAAGATTTATTGGCTAGGAAAAACAGAAAAATATGTTCGCTTTTAGTTTCAGGTAATGCATACAAAACACAGACAAGCATACACAGTTGGGGCAACAACATGATAATATAAAGGAAACTGTAAACCTAGTGAGGACAGGAATGTCAGACAAGAAAGGCGCTAATAAAATAGCAATCAAATATATAATCTAAATTCAGGAAAAGCAGCAGCCAAAAAACAGAACTATGGAAATTACCACTGTGACAGAAAATTGAGATTAACACAGCAGGATCCATATATAAAAACCTGGCACATATTAAGAGTAGGAAGCTGAGGAATTCGTACTGATGGACAGTTGCCAAACACTTTGACAGAGCTGGTAACTTGGAAGTATCAATTTTCAAGACTGTCAAAGACAGCCATCTATAATAAGAAACATAAGAGAAAGGAAATCTGCCATATTACTCTGCGGTATTAAAAACAAGTGTAAGAAAACTATCCATTGATACATAAGTAATGTACTGTACATTCTTATTTTCTCAAGACATCATGGAAATTCACATCTCCAGCCCAGCAGACTTGACCAATGAGATTGAGAACCTAGACAAATAGAAGATGTGAAAATATATCTTCTAAATTTCTTCTAGGAAAGAGAAGGAAAGGATGATCAGCAGCAAGACAGAGAGACTCAGTTACAGTTGAGAGATCTGAAAGATCAGAAGGAGACAGCATCATGGAGAAAATCTATGCATGTAGTCACTAGGAGTCAAAACAACTTGATGGCATATAATCAACAATTAGAAAAATTCTTCTAGTAATCTTTTTTAAAACAAACAAACACCTCCTTGGCACCTTTTTCTCATTATAAACCCTTCTCCCTAATCCAGGAAGAAATAAATTATTTAAAATAGAATGCTCTCTGGAATTTGAACTGGTCAATTGTCTCTTCTAATTTTTTTTTTTTTCAGTTATAGAGTTACACTCAGAGATTTAATCCATGGAGAAAACCTGATTTTTGTGCATCCCGAAGCTGCCACCATTCTTGTTAGCATACCTATTTCGGTTCAGTATAGCTTTTGTGAAAAACAACACATTATTTTGATTGATAAATTAGTTATTTATATTAATATATTTTTATTAGCTGGTGATTTCACTTCCGGGGTGATAAGCACTTCAGCAGAATTTGCTATTGTGGGGAACGATATTCATTTGTTCTACTATTGGCCCTGTAATGCAACATGTATATCTGATATGTACAGATTCCTGTGTATTTGGAAAGAGAACAGCATTAAGGATAAAAACAACTAAACTTGGTTGTTCCATCTGTGTTTTTAAATGTTCAAATGAAATTTCATTCTATCATCTGGATTATTTCGAGATATCAATAAATAATTCTGCAAACATGTAATAGTTGTAATATAGTGTCTATATGCATGTTACACTGAAATTAAAACTTACTTACTTCCCTCCTCCCTCCCTTCCTTCCACCTTGACTTTCTCCTTGCCTAAATTAGACAACTTACTCTCTTCAATAGCTTTCTATATGTCCCACTAGCTCTGGGAAAGTACATCCAAGGTGAATGGACTGACTCCTAACATCGTTAGCAACTTCTCAGGTGGGCAATTATGGGAGCTGAAGTCCAAGCATAGATTGAGGGAGTCTGCCCCAACTCTTTCAGGAGCATCCGATTTTTCCACATGCTTAGCGCAATAATTGATATTCAAACTCAAGCACTATTTTAAAAAATACATATGTAGTTTGGCTGCGGATGTTGGTAAATGGCTTAAGATTCACAGCAGTATAAAACAGCCTGGCTCCACTTCACTGATCATTCCATATTGTGTGGCCTCATCAAATTCAGAACAAATTGTGAAAAGTGCAGGGAAAATGAGGCAAGGGACATAAGAACCCTATAAGACTCAAATATATAAATCACAGAGAAATTGCTCTGAATTTGAGCAGAGCAAAATAAATAATAAATAACATTCAGATAACTTCTTCTACATCCGGGAAGTTTTTATTTTGTTGGTGGATTGTAATTGGTTTGTAGTGATTTTTTTTTAAAAAAATGATTCTTACTTACATGACCTTATTTAATCTATATTTTATGGGATTGTTTTGCAGTTTATTGTAGTATAATATTTTTTATAATTCCATTATCATTAGTTGTGTTCAGCATCGCTAAATGGTATGCAAATGTACACAAACCAGCAGTAACAAATTAGTTTCTAGCCAAAATTAAACATTTGTCAAATTTGACCATAGGCTGAGCATGAATATGTAAAATCAGTGGGATTTAAACAGCTTAACCTTATCTGAAACATACAATTCAGTTTAATATCAATATCAAGGTTGCTCACTGGATACCGGTGCTATGGAAACAATAAGAGTTTATATAAAATTTGAAAACAAGTCCCAACAATCTCAGAGAATTCATTTTATTAAATAAGTATCCCTTCTGAACTGGGGGGAGGGGGGGCTTACAGATTCCTTGCTTTTGAAACTGATCAGGCTGTAACCAGCAAATTTCAGCTGCACAACATTTTCACATGCCTTTAAGTTCAGTAAAAATATACAGTATCTACATTTCTACCCTAGAAATCATTAAGACTTTTAAAATGCTTAACTTTTAATAGTGTGGTGGCAGATGATTTGTTGGCTATTCGTCCCACTAGATTAAAAAGAAAAAGAAACGAAAAAGAATCTCTAGACTATATAAAGCAAGCTGTTGCCTAGGAAAATTCATCATTTGATTTCAAACCAATCAGAAATGAATTAAGAAAGCAATATGCACATGTGACATGACCAGTAGTGGAATGGTATACCCTAGGCTTAGACGTGAGAGCGGTGATCTGTCCCTTTGCAGATCACCGCTTCTGTCGTCGTAAGGAGAAACCTTTTGGGGGAGGGTGGGTCTGTGGTAGCGCGTAGAGTACAACTCACAGGCAACAGTATTAAAAGCTTTATTTAATAAAGGGAATGCAAACTTGGGGTGGTCTTTTAAAATTGCTTAATGGCTACAGAACGTCCAAGAAAAAGTTCGGGGGGGGGCTTTGAAGTTGGAGCCCTAAAAAAAAAAAAAAAAGCACTCGAGGTCAAACGTTCGCATCGCCAAGACGAGCGCTTAAAACAGGTGGCCGGAGACGGCTAAGCGGAGCGTCAGGAGTGGGCAGCTCGAGCTACCTTCGCGCGGGAGCCCCTCGGCTTTAGGACCGCTCGGAGCGCTCCGCTCTGGAGGTAGTATAAGCTTTGCAATCTCTCTACTCGCGGTGGCAGTTGCAGAAGATTGCTTTTAAGTGAAACGGCAGGGCCACCCCTCCTGCGCTTGCCTTCTCCCCCCTGCTTCCCCAATTAATCGAGCCCAGTCCTTAAGTTTGCGAGCTTCTCTTAGCCACGGCGAGAGCGAAGGGAGCGCCTGCCGCCGCGGTCTATCTAAGGAGAACGGGCCATCCAGAAGAAGGCAGACTCGGCGCCGACGGGGTGCATGCCTCTTTCCCCCCCCCCACCCCCGATGGACTTTTCTGACCGGAGCGCCGCGACGTTCCCGGGAAACCTCTTCGATCCTGCCCGGCCCCAAAAAAGGAACTCCGCGGCGTCAAGGCTAACCGCGGGGATTGATGTCCCTCTTCGTCGGCGGCGGCAGCGATCGGAAATAAAATGAAAGCTGGGGGGATCCCGCAGCAGCACCACCAGCAGCAGCAGCAGCCACCGCGGGAGCAGCCACGCCACCTGGAGCTGCCGCGGCCGGCCGGCAACCAACCACCGCACCGCGCCTCCCCATCAAAAGTTTGATGCCAAGAAGTGAGCCCGGCACAAGAAAGGGCGAAGGCGGGGCTGGAGCGGGACCGCTAGAGGAAGCTGGCTAGACCCCGCCGCCGCCGCCGCCGCCGGTCTTCACCCTCTCCTGCGCTGCCCTAGTCTTCCCTCTGGTCCGATCCCTGCCTGTTTCGCCACCCCCACCCCCGTTCGGGGAGGACTCCCGCCCCATCGTCTGCCCGACCGGGCTGATCTCCAAAGGGGCAGCGCCAGAGGAGTGGCTAATCCAGGGGGCGCGCGAAAGAAGCGCGGCTCGCCCGCTCGCCCGGTGGCTCCAGCTGGGCTTCGGGCTTGGCTTTGCCACTCGCCAGCGGAAGTCTTTCGCCGCGGGCTGCAACTTTATTGCCTAGGGGCGGGTGCGGCAAGGAGAGAAGGGACGGCCGAACACGCCGCCGTCTCACCCCGACACCGCCGCTGCTGGAAGGAAAGGAAGTCGGCTTAAGCCAGCGCTGCCATCCAGAGTCCGGAGCAAAGGCGGTGGTTTGCTTCCGTGGCCTCGGCAAAGCGCAACGAGAAGGTGAGTAACTCAGCTGATCTCAGGCTTTTCCCTTGGGCCTCCCTACGGGTGCGTTAGCCGTGCGGTTCTTGAAGGGTCGGACAGTAAACTTTCCGAGAAGAGCTGTCGCCACTTGACTCTCTTTCCAGATTCCGGGGATGGAATCGGAAGAGTTTTGAAGCTGCCTTGGGAAACTTGACTGCATACAAACGAAACTCCGCCGGAGCTCTTGTTCCCCATCTAGGACAGGATGAATTGAACTCGCCCCAGCGGGTTGGAGAGGTGGATAAGGTGATCGGGCGGTGGCATGAGATGCAGGGCTGGAGGTTAAAAAAAAATCAAATCGAGAAGAGAGAGAGTCGGCAGGCTTGGGTTAAAATATACAGTACATTCATTCATCCATCCATCCATCCTCTGGAATTTTGACTCTCTTCACAATTGATACCCTGTGTAGAATCCTGGCCTGTTTAGGGATCACTCTGTGGCAAATAGTTATTCAACAATTAATGTGATTTTATTGCATCTCCTCCTCCCCCTTCTCAATAACCAATTAAGAGATTTTAGAAGAGAAAAAGGAGATAAAACTTAGATACAAATAGAAACTGCGCCCTCTAGCGTTCATTTGGAAATTTTCCACAGGAAAGGCATTCCGATTGGTTACTTAAGCAAAAAAAAAAAGTGGGGGGGAATCTGTCAGCGGGGATTTCAAAGCCTTTGTTCGTAGAAGGTGCCGTTTGGCCGTATTTATATCCCAAATATATAGAATGGTACAAAACTGGCATCTTTTCCTTCTAAGCAATGAAGATATAAATCCATTGGCTTACAGGCAGCGCATCACCTTCATGTGTGTCCATGGATTGCTGAACTGTATAATTACTGCGTTTAAAGAGGGAGGGCTTACTTTTATCAGTAATTAAAAAAAAACAATGATAGTTTTAAAGTAAAAAATGTTACAGAATATAGAACAGCAAGGCAACAAGGAATGAACAGAAGGGCCTTGAATAGAATGGCCTGTAGCTTGAGATGATATTAGTATGTCATACTTACGAATCTGAATATTTTTCCTGTTTTAGTTTCTGCAAATACAGATTTTTTTTCCTGAAGGAGAAAAGAAAAATAGGATACAAAATACAGCAGCAAAATATTGGAGGAGGTTGTGTTATCTCAGACCTTAATTCAGATCTAAAATATCAGCCTGATTTGATAAATTTGTATCCAGCTCTTAAAAAACACCAGATGATGGAAAGGGGTATTCAATAGCTCTAATGCTTAAAATTTGTGACTCTTAATGGAAAAAGTAGTTGACAATTAAGAATAGCTTCTCATATTAGCCTTTCTTTGCTGGTATTTCTGTTTTCCAAATACATTTCTTTTAAATGCAGAATAAAATGTGGATATTATTAGCAGTGAATCTAATCTTCTGACTTTGTCAAATGCAGCTGACTCAAAATGCTTTTTACAGTTCCCTCAGAAATAAATGTCATTTATATCATTGGAGAAATATTAAATATTTAATATTAATAAAGAAATATTAAATAGGTCCACAATGGAAGAAGAGCATTTTGAAAGAGTTTGGATCTTGCCTGGAAAATATGTCACTTTGTGATAATAGATGGAAAATCATTGTGGGGCTGTGGTCACAAGTAAATCATAACCAGAAATGCTTTTCAAGACTGAAATGCAGGATTTCTTGTTCACAAAACAGGGACTTCTCAGCTCTTTGATACTCCTTTCTTTGCATACCATTAACTGCTTAAAATTTGGCGGGAAAACACCCAAGAATGATACAGGAAGTTATCCAAGGCAGAAGATTACCTACCATGGCTGATTTACTGCCATGGCACAGGAATGCTGGTGGACTTGTAATTACAGGTGCTTTCCATCAGTACTTGAGGGTTAATTTCATTATGTCGTTGAAAATCCTGACATTTCTAAAGAAAGTACCTATGGTTAAAGAAGGAGAGGCGATTTGTGAATAGATAGGTATTACCACCTTCCCTATTCCTGCAACTTAACTAAGAATATTTCCTTGAAGTCAAAGCCAGTGATTCAGCCTTCGTTCTGCTTTTTGAATATTAGTGATGTCCCACAGTTGGTAACATTTTTTTGTGGCTTTCTTTCCTTGTAATGCTGCAGGCAAGAGAAAATTGGAATTGTCTGACACGGGATAAGAATGACTCACAGTCCTATTTTTATGGTAAATCTTCCTTGCCTTTCTTCTCCCTTGCTACATGTTAGAAGTGTAATACTTGATGGATGTTCTTGAGGAGATGATAGGTATATTTTCCATCAGTAAAACTTGTAAAAATAACTTGGTCTGACTAGATAATTGGAAATCCTCCCCACCACTTACTAGAATGGATTTGACATTATTTCAAGTTTGAGGGCATAAAGCACATAGTCATATTGCCCAATTCTCACTTGTTCAGCAAACTAATTTAGCATTTATGAAAACCAGTAAGTTGGCTTTAAATGCAGAAATTTTGTATTACAAATTTATATATACATTGTGTGTGTGTAAGCATTTAAAGAGGGTGTCTGTGTGGAACTATAGTTACGTTTTTGATTGTGTTTAGAGCATTATTACTATTGGTGTTCAGGAAAATTCAATCAGAATTCATACAGAACAGAGGATAAAACACAATCCTTAAATTACAATTGACTAATTGCTGTATAGATTCCTCAGATGGTACGTGTGTGTGTGTGTGTGTGTGTGTGTGTGTGTGTGTACCTTTATTAAAATAACTATTTCGCCTAAATCAAAGGACTACATTCAGTTTGATTCACAGATAATAATGTTAACAAAAGCCTCCAAGTATAAGCCTAGGATAGATTTCCAAATAATACATATAAAACTGTTATTCAGGGCTTTACTTTATTTTTAGAATTGAGGTCTCTATATAGAGACAGTCCTCACCGGGGAAGTTCTATTGATTAACTACCTAATCAGCTTCTTAGTGCCAGTTTCTATTATGAGACAATGATCTTCGTGTGTCTGTGGGTGTGGATCTGTGTGAGAGAGAAGAAACAGAGAGAAGGATGGTATTTACAGGGACCGGATCACTACAAGATGCTTAATTTGTCAGCAGTTGCTGATCAGAATGGGAAGTTGGTTGTTTTTCACAGTTAATTGCATCTGGGATATTGTTCATGGGTATCAGCGGGTGTCAGCGGGTAAATGTAAACAAGGTTTTGTGAGAGACTAGCAATCCTCCGAATACCTCTAAGAAGGGGAAGCTAGGTTGTAGAAGTAAGGGTTAAAATTCTGTAGGAGTAATGAGCTTTCAGTAATAAAGGACACTCTAGGTGTCCTGGTGCCAGAACTTCATTGAATGTTGTTAGCATAATCCATTCCCCCCCCCCCACCAGTGGATTGCAGTCACCTTTTCTTCAGACTGAGAGGCAAGATTCTAGAGATCCCTCTAGTTTCATACAGCAGATTGTGCAATCACATGGTAAGCAAAGATTATAACGCGAGAGAGGATTTAGCAAAATAGTCCTCTGTCAGTTTTTAACACTTGTGTTAGAACTGATCAGATATGAACAGAGGGGGGAAAAAAATCTGGAACAAAATCCTACATTATTCTTCTTTATCACACTAGATGTTCAAACTTGAAAGTTTGATCTTAAGAAAGCTCAAGTAAAAATCTCATTCTTTCAGGCTTAACTGTTTGGATGGCCTTGACATTAAATTCGGTTCCACAGAAATGTGTTTAGGATGGAAGTGAAAACATACAAGTTCATTTCTACATTAAGGCGATTATTTCATTGTGCTCTTACTCAATGAAAATCTGTGTCTCATGAGTTGCAGTCTACAGGTGCAACATGGGGTGCGTTCTGCTGTTATTAAAAATTCTCACCATCCTTAGCAAATGATCTTTGAGCCAATATCTTTCCCTGTGTCAATGAGCTCATTAATAATGAGACACTGCCGACTGCTAAGCTATGCTGCGTTAGCTCTTGCCAAAGCATGACATTTTTAATACATTAATAATATGTCTGAAATGTAATGGAAAACTATTAATCACACTCTCGACAGGTGCCAGAAATTTAAGCTGTAATTGGCTGTTTCTTGTCAAGCATGCCAGTCGCATGTTCTGATACTTGAATCACCTGCACAAAGGTCTCCACTTTTCTCTTGTCATCTTGTTGAATGAGATCAATGCTACACTCTTATAATTCTGTGTAATTATCATAATCATGACTTTTTACTTGCTTCAGCAGTAATTCATGGTCTGGGGGAAGAATGTACACTAGAGCATTTGCACCATTTGCTGCATTTTAGTGCAAATCTTCTGCCATTTTGAATGTTGCTTTTCATTTATTTGCATTCTGATATGAGTCTCCAATTGTTTTACTGGAGGTTGTTGAAAAATATGCTTCTTGGAAGTAAAGCTGTCTTGGACGGAATTGGACTTAATACCACCGTTAAATGGTACAGAAATATATAACTTCTTCAGAATTCATTAGATATTGTCCTTGGCAATTTGTTAACATGTTGTGCAAGTCAAGGAACTATTTGTTTCTATTTATAAATATTAATTTAAAATGCATGCTTTCAGACCAAGTAGTTATTTGAAATTAACCAAATCTTATTTCTGAATGATCAGATAGTCACAGATGTAAGTTGGTGATCAGTAGGTAAGATAAAAAAATGTAAAAAAAAAAAAACCCAAAGAAAAAAATATGTTGAAAAGGAGATATAAGAAATAGCTGAAGGGGATGACATGGTTTTTAAAAGTACCTTTGAGTTTGAGTGCTCTACTTCATTCCTGAAAAGAAGCTGAACTTTCTAACAGAACACTGGTTGGTAAAATAAATAGGAAACTCCATGTGTCCATAGGGCAATTATTGTAATTTTCTATAGAAACATTATACAGCCATCTGTTGGCATTGCATTAGAGCTATAGCTAGTTTCAGATCCAAGACAGTGTTATATTTGAATAAAGAAACCTCTTTACAGATTGGCTTTGCATTCCAGATTCTTTCTGCCTGAAAATAAGCATTTTTGGCATAAGCTATTATGTGCACAGGTCACCAAAATGCAGTGTTCTTCTTTTCATGTGATATCATAACTCATTTTTCTTAACTCATCAGATTATCGGATCCCAAATAGAAAAAAATATTGGTTTTGGGAAATAGCACAACTGTTTCCAGATGTTTTTTTTTTGCCATGCGTAGGAATTTAGTAAGAGATTAGTGTGATTCCTTAATAATAAAATTTTAATTAAGAATATAGCAATATGACTGCATACTTACTTTTCAGTGATTGTGTGGGAAGGGCTTATTACTAAATAATTACTAAGAGAATACTTAGTAAATATTGCATTCTTTTTAATACATTAAAGCAGTTAAAAAAACCAGGATGCTGCAATACTTTTATGAAAGGTTTTTGTTAGAATTTGTTCTAGATTGATGTAATCAAAATCTGTATACTCCAGTGTTCTGTAATTTCACAAATGGTTAAGATCTTTAAAATGTTTGTCATAATTTAGGTGGCATAGTTTTTAACTCAAGTAAATGTGCACAAATGCAGTTGCATACAGTAGCAAAGAGAGGGAGAGAGAGGAAGAGAGGAAAAAAAAACCTGTAGACAGTTCTTTTATCACAACTTAATTAAAATCTGGTTAGAGAGGAAAGTGTTGAGGTTGGATTGAGCCTAAGGGCTGTCACGTAGCCATTCCTTGAGTTTAAATGCCTTGCAAAGTTGACAGAGGTCAGTGTGAGAATTTCTTTGATGTGCCTTTTCTATCACTTAAATTATCGCCCAGCATTTTATGTCCCGCTCCAGTGAACACAGAGGGTAGATGAAGAAGATTGCTTTCTCCTGTGGAAATTGACACATAAAGGGACTTTAAAACAACAACAACAGCAAATCTATATAAGGAATTATTATTATCAGCTGCAAATGAGCCAACTGTTATCTTTGTCATTAAACACAATTAAACAAAAGCAGAGCTCTTCCAGTACTAATGAGAAAAAAAAAAATCCAAAGAGGCAGAAGTGGGCTCATCAGATCACTTATTAAGCTAACAAAAGCTGAGATGTGTAACAGATATTTTGAGCTCTCAGAGGTCTTCTTTTGAAGAGATGAAAAGCATGCAAGTTGCTGTCAGTTCTTTGTCGTTGTAATAAAAGCTTTGACACCTTTGGTAGATTGGGGAATGTATCCCCTATTTGGCTATGAAATATGTGACTGGTTTGAGTACTGTTGCTGAGCTCAGATTTGACAAGATGAAAATCATGCTCTTGAGATGGATAGATGATAGATAGATAGATAGATAGATAGATAGATAGATAGATAGATAGATAGATAGATAGATAGATGAAAATGAGACCAGAGTTAAATGTCTCATGTCAAAATAATTTTGGGGATGTGTGATTAAGACATTTGGTTTATTTTAGCAAAGCTCCTCCGGTAAAGGTTACCCTGTTTTTTCCAATATACTTTGTATTGAGCAAGGCCCTCAAAATGTCAACATTTTCAAATATTTTCTATTGCATTGATCCTGGAACGGTAACTCTTACTTTTATTGTTTCTAAAAGGGTGCTGGTACCAGAAGAAAAGAATGACTGATGGCAAACAGACTGTAAACCATCATTTTGGTCCATCAGCTGATTCATCACTTTGGCTGACTGTTCCTCATGATCTGGAAAAAAGGAGGATCGCTAGGGATTATTGACGGTACAGCTGAGGCCTGGCAACACTGCTAAATTGTTACCTGATTTTGGACCTTATTTGCCTACGTGATTAAAAGTCCTGAAACACCTCAGAATGTAACAAGCATCCTTCACTTGGCTTTGAACGATATATATATATATATATAAAATATGCTTGGATTCCATCAAAGTTTGCAAAATTAAAAACACAGTTATTGTAACTTAAGCTCCTCTCTCCTTTGGAACACATTTTGCAATAAGGTTGCCTCTCTCCCTATATATTTATGTATAATAAAGACTGCACTTAGTTCCATATTGGTGATTGCTGTCAAGGCACTCAAAAGGATATAGAGATGTATTTGTCAAGATTCCTGTCTCTCCATGCCCTATGGGTTACTGTGTCTTCGGTAATGCAACATTATCCTTCAGTTTGGGGACATTATGATGTGTGCAAAACACAGATTTATATGGATGAAGACAAGATTTGGGATTATACTGCCTGTCAGCCTGAAGCCATAGATATGATGAAACACGTAAAAGTAAACCTGGATCCATCTAATATAACATGTGGAAACCCACCAGAGACCTTCTGCGGAATGGTAAGGAAAAAAGTATAAATCTTATTTTTAAGCATAGAGCATAGATCTCTCAGAGAAACAGAATTATGTCTGTCTCCTGCATCAAGACCAACATCTTTAGGACTGACTGGCATTGTTTGTTATGGGACTAAAAAATGTCTGGCAGAGAGGAATTTACTAGAAGCTTTTAAAGCTGAAGGGTAAAGTAGTCCATTTTGGTCTACTTGAATGAAGCAAAGTGTTCTTGAATTGTTGCTATTCCTTTACTGCTTTTTTTAGGCTTCAGGACCATAGACAGCTCTGAAATTACTGCATCTATTCGTAAGAACCCCCATAAAGCTTATTATTAAATTTTAACTTTCAATCATTTGCCCCTATAATAATCCTAAAAAGTGTATATAACTAATTGACTTAATTTTACTTACATTTAACTTAAATCTGTTTAGTTTGTGTTGTGGCCTATATAATTTTTGAAGTTTTGATTTGGCTCAAAAAGGATTGCTGTTAGATTGGATGGTAAATTTGTTTTGGTATGTTCAGCTTTTTAAAGATTAAAATGATTGTTGGATTTCAATACTGTGCCATGTAATATTTTATATTAAGACCATGGCTTCTGCAGGATTTGTGTGGCTCTTAAGAAAATAATCCAGCAACATGTATCTATAACAATTGGGTTTTTCAGAGCTGATTAAAATGTACCATTTTTACTAAATATACAGTATTTGATTATGTGCTTCTGCAAGTGCTATTATTTTACTTTTAACTGCAAGATATGAAATATACTTCTCTGCCATATGCTGAAAATTGCATATTGAATGGAGGATGGCTCTCTAATTAGGGCGATTCTTCTGAAAGGATAAATAGGGACAAAAATGACAGATTTAGTCAAAAAGCCTGTGCACTGTCCAGCATTCATATCTTGTCAAACCGAGATTGACAACTCCAGCTGAAACCAGTCCTAGAGATTTCAACTCCTCACAAAAAAATAGCATTTCATACACATATGTGTGCATTTTTGCATTTGTGCTTTATACAACTTGTAGAAGCTATTCAAAGAACAAGACTAAGACCATTCCCCCTCCATCTCTATTTAAAATGAACAATGTTCAAAATTAGGTGACCCTCTATAGAGAAGAACCATTCTCGCACGAATAACCAACAAGTCGTTTTTGCACACAGTAACATACAAATTTACCCACACATTTCCATTCTGTCCTTCTAGCAGCAATAGAAGAAAAAGAAGAAACTTCAGTATGGTGATAGTGTGAGGAGGAAATTTGCACCGGGAAGGAAAGAAAAGAGAAAGCCATGAACAATAGAAAAGAAGTCAAGGGCAGAAATAGCTAGACAGGGGAAAGCCTGTCTTTTTGACATTATAAAAAGGGTAAACATTCAGTGGCAGCAAGGGTGAGACTCACATTTCCAAGTTACTGATTTTGGAACACATTTTAGTAACTAAATCTGTGGTCTTTTGTACCTGCTGCCCATTCATGTTCTTTCAACAAGCTTTCAGTTCTTGGCAGACATAAGAAGAACTCAACGAGATTATTAGGGTTTGGGCATTCTCCTTTCTGGGTAGGTAGGATAATCTAGTGATTTAAAATAACCATCACTTTCATTTGAGACTTATGACTTGACATCTGCAAAATTATTCTTGTTTAAGAGACCGGGCTCTCAAGATTCAGAAGCTAAAAGAAAGAGGGGAGATGTAATCCAGATGCGTTGTCTAATTTATATGCAACCAGCATTTCAGCTGGTGGTCATTTAACATCTGCCATGTTGAAGCAGATAATAATTAATTTTATAAACTATTTACATAAGGACTCTGTCGGTACACTTTGTAAACCACTTCACCGTTAAACCACCAGTACCCCCAAAATCTTAGGATAAAAGCAGAGGAAATTGACAGAATAAGGAACGGAATTGCATAGGTTAATGCTGTAATGTTCGCATCATTTGATTACTCATAACATGTTGTGCATCAATTTTGACTCAACCTGTACGCTGTCATGTTCTGAGAGCAGAGAAGCAAACTTCAGTCAGAAGCCTCGTTGAGATGAGTAAGATTTCCGCAAGAGTGATCCTAGACATGGCACTTACTCATTTCACTTGGATTAGGCAGCAAAACATCCTACTTGTAGTCATCTGTGAGCCACTATATTTAAATTATGGCATACACTTATGACATGTGAAGTAAACTTTTTCTGGAGAACCGTTGGAATTTGCATTTTTGTGCAAAGACTACCGTAGTTCATAAGTAGAACATAATGCCTTGCAGATCTCTAGGTTGAAAAGCAATCAGCCGGTGTCAGTAATAATGAAATGATCTATGTAAAATTGCAATCTGATTTGGTATAAGGAAACTTCATCCAGACTATTTGATCTGATAGAAAGGAATGTGATCTATTTAATTTTGGATACCTGAACTCTTAAGGAATAGTTGTTTCATACTGATAATGAAAGACAAACATGGATCACAAGATTTTTTTTTTTTTTTACTAACATAAGGTGTTCCAAATCACATAAATTAAACAATTTAGATATGATAGATGGCATTTGCTTTAAAATATGCCTGGAATCCGTCTGATAGGTTGCCTCCTTCGTTAGGGTCTTTGGTGCCTGTGGCTTCAAAAAGCAGAATTGTATTACTCCCAAGTTGCACCTCAGCAGGAAGAGTGAACTAGGGTCATTAATATAACATGTGTTGAGACTGGCATCTCTTTGATTCTCGAGTTGCCAATTAAAAAATAGAATGCAGTGGCTCTAAAAAGTGTGAAATGTGTGAATTGCAATCTTCATTTATGATCTTGTGGTATATTTCATTATGCCTGTGAAGAAGAGGTTAGGGAATTCATTCAGCAAATATTGCCTGTAAAGGCAAGTACTGTAGCAAGATCCCTACTGTGTTGTCTAGTCAGCTATATTATTTAAGAAGAGAAATTTTATGCTCAAATTTCTCTTGAATTTTGTTTATATTTATAAACTAGAGTGATACATACAGGCAAGTTTTCACTATATGTGATCATTCTAACCCATGGCTAGATTTAGCTAGTACTTCTATCTGCTTTTCAAGAAAACAGACAGAATCCTAACCAGGTTCCTGCTGTTCAAGAGTGGACTAGTTAGACTAGTTAGTTAGACTAGTTAGACTTAATCTTCTAGGATAATGCAAAGTATGAGGCAAATGTTGAAAGCCCAAATATAGTGATTTGATAAAGACTGGAATTAAAATAAAATATGCTACTCAACCAAAGCTCTGCTAATTTAAGATCCTAATGGATCTTACTAATTCCAGATCTTCAAATAAAAAAAAATATAGATGGGGGAACTCTTTTTTTTAACTATATGCAGTATACCGTATATAGACTGTTGGTGTTTGTGTATATGGAAATTTTTGTTGTTTTCTGAGATACTTCTCTAAAAGGAAAGATACTGTAAAGAAGGGGCTGGGAGTTCGGCAGAGATAAAGAATAAAGTGCTACTATCTGCAAGCTGTTAACTTGTAATTCACAAAAAGCCGAAGACTGAAATAATGACATATAAAAAAGAAAAGTTGCTGTTAAGGCTCCAACAAACCTTGGCTATCATAAAGCGGTGCAGCAAGGCAACTTGCAATAGTTTCATTATCCCTTTTGTTCCTGAAAAGTTTATATGGAGAATTTGAAGGCACCTGTAGATGGACATATATGTTTGTGTGGCTTTCGGAGCAGAAGTGCTAAGGATGGCAAGCCTTTTCAAGTGCCACTGTGGATTTCACAGCCAATCCAAACTAAATTAAGAAACAAAGGTTATTAAAAAGAAAGTGAAAGTCTTCCCGTATGTAATTTTGCCACAGTGTTATGAGCTGAACCTTCAGTGTTTTCCTTAGAGATTTTCAGCATCATTAATACTGTGTGGCTTTCATTACCAATACATTTTTATTTGCTGAGAAGAAAATTAGGAAGTAAAGGACTATCTGGTGTCATGATGATGTTTACTGAAATAATTAAACTGTCAGATACCTTTCAACAGACTAGTTTAGAAGGCAAAATGAAAATTATTTGTAAATGCCTTATTAATACATGCATGTCTTCTGCAGAACAATGAATCAATACAGTGCTGCTGTGGCAATATCAAGAACAAAATCTATTCTGGGAGACTGCTAGCTGATAATTTTTCACAAAGAGGAAAATAACCAATTCAGATGCCACACCTCCCATTTTCTTTATAAAAGCTCTTTGAAGTGTGAGCTGCCTTTTAGGTTTTTGTGAATGAAAGTCATAACAACTTCTAAGTATTGTATCAACATTATATAAATGGCTGATTTTTTTTTTTTTTTGAGGTTGTTTTCTGATGTAATTTATTTGTTGCTTTATTTCACAAGTTTGTAGGGTCACCTACCTCAACTAAGCAAGTAAAGAAAGAAAATACATGGATAAAATAGCACAATTTAAAAGCCAGAAGGAAACACAGATTTGTTTTTGTTTTAATTAAGGCTCCTTGTAAAACTAGCACAACGCAGAAAGGATATACATACCAGAACTGCCCTAGTGTGTTGTTTTGTTTTGTTTTATAGTCAAAAGTGATAATAAAGTTTTAATACTTTTTTAAAACTGGACTTATTCCCACCAAGAAACGTCTGTGAGGCTTCTGAGCTCTGTGTGTTCTCTGCCATGTTGTAAGGTGAATGATATATGAATAAAACCAATGAGGTCGCCTTCATTTTCTTTTTTAGGTTGAAAAACTGTAGTAATCACATTTATACACACAAGACAAATGAAAATGAAAAAGTTTGCCATCCGTTTCCAACGCTACATGATTCACATTAAATTGGGGCCACATCAAAGCATGTGGCATTTCTTCCATGTGGCAAAAATCTGGTCACTTAGGATTTCAAGCTCCATTTCTATAGCTTTACATGTGTAAATAGTTTTTGGGGTTTTTTTTTGCTTCATTCAGGCATGAATTAGCTATTGAGTTTGATTGACATCTGCTGTAGTTAGAACTAAATATCTATGCTTAATATCAGCCATACATATATT